ACCACCACCAGACCCATTCGCTTTGCTTCACTATCTAATCCAGTGAAGGGATCTATGTGTGTATGTAGTACTCGTATTAAAAACATTTTCATTATTTCCTACTTTTTTTCGTGTAAATTTTCAATACTTATGGATATTCTTTAATAAAAACAAACTCCAAAAAAGAAGCTGAGGAAAAGTGTACTCGGCAGTCAGTGGATAACTTTCGAATATAATTTCACCCTGTAAAAGCTTCTCGTGGACAATCGACTGTCACCAAAATGCATGGCATAACCCAGGGTGAAACCTTGGCTTAAGCAAATATCAAAAATATACATATATTAATCACACTTTCATGAAAAATCAAACAATTTATTATTGTCAAAAAAATTATTTAATTAAATTAAATTTTTTTTTCTTCTATTTGCTATAGATCCATGCTATAAAGATATCTGCATTAATATTCCATGTTTGTTATGTGAATGTGGGATAAATCTCTTCATTATAACGGGCTGTTGTTTTTAAAAACGGAATTTTAATTTATAAATTTCAATTCTCGTAAGTGATAAATAATGGCTTGAACAAAATGCGAGATTATACATTGAGCCCAAATGCGTTATTTGGTCAAGAAATCTGAAATTCAAATCTAAATAACGCATTTTCCTATAAAAAGTTTGTTTTACCTTTTCAGTTAATGAGAAATCAAAGCAAAATTGTAAACCACTTTCAAATGTCTGATTTCAAATTACGCATTTGGGTCCAATGTAAATGTAATATAAGAAATTGTGTAAACATACCAGGGCGATTTGAAAAGTACGTATAGTGGCGAACAAAAGTACTGGCACAGAGAATTTTTCGAAATATATATGCAAAGTTTTTTTTATTCTAATTTCTAATACCATTGTGGTATTTTTGAAAAAAAAGTATTTTTTTGCTTAAACAATGCTTTAAAATAAAATTTTTTAATAGCTGTGCCAACACTTCTCCTGCAGCATGCGGTCTCGCTGAGCACTTGTAGAACTTTAAAAACGTTTTTATCGAAATCACTTTTTTCCATCTGGCCGGACACTTTGCTTCAAATAAGTCTATACAGTAGCTTTATAATTAAATTCCTTACAGCCATGCTACAACAAAATCCATAAAATTCAATGTTTCTAACTTTACATAATGGGGTAACACCATCGTAAAATTTTCATCAAAATCTCACACTTTTCATTCAGAATTTTTAGATTTTTTTTGTGTATGCAGTTTTATAGCCCATTCAATTTTAGCAATTTTTAATTTTAAGTAATTTTTTTTTGGCGAGGGTGTTGCACAATTTCTTCCATATAAAAATAGATTTTGTTTATGCGTTATATGGAAGAAAATGCGCAATGCCATCAACAAAAAAATGCCAAAAATCAATATGTAATTTGTAGCGACTTCAAACTTGCACTTTCTTATACTAAAATTAAATGGGCTATGAAATTACGTACCTAAAATAATTCTAAAAATTCTGAATAAAGTGTGAAATTTTGATGAAAATTTTACGATTTTTGTTTTTAATTGTTACATAGTTAGAAATATCGAGTTTTATGGAATTTCTTGTAGAATGAATTATATTTTTATTCAAAATTAATAAAATTTAAATAAAAAAAAAATGTTTTCAAAATTTGGAAAAAAATTACTGTCCGGTTTTGACTGACACCCACTGTATAAAGCTTTTAAATAGTTTGTTATTATTGTTCCCGCTCTCAAATTTCACGTAAATGATGTCCGGGTGTGACGTTACGTAATTTTTTAAAAAGGGAACCTCAACAATTTGGTTTCTAAATAACCTCTTTGAAACTAATCCCCATTCCTTTTGTCAAACTCTCAAAAAAAATTTCCATTCCATTCGCCTTCGAAGAAAAATGTTTCGTGCGAAACCCCAATTACCTACATAAGTAAACTAAAACGATTTTTTTTTGAATCTCAATAAAATTTGCGCTCTGTAATTTAAATCATAGACAAACCGCAACGTTAATCCGGATTAACTTCGCAGTTGATCTGATCAAAATTGTACCCTGAAAGACGGCAGTTTTGCAGATTAATCTAGCCGCGAGGTCGTGGATCAAAACCCACGGCCAGCAAAAAATTTGTTTGTATCTTTTTTTGCTCCTTCAATGTTTACCTTTTTAATGTAATTATAGTTATGGTGTCTAAAAATTTGATTAACGGAAACAAGTATTTGCAAAAAAATAAAATAAAAATAATAAAAGGTTTGGACCATTCGGCTCGCGGATGCCAAACACGCTTGCATTGCTAGCTTTGTTTATTTTTGACCAGTGTTGTCATCGATAATTCCCTTGATCTGAATTAGTTTTTGGAATTAAATGTAGAACTGAGATAATTCCGATTTAAATAGTAATATATAGGTAGAATATATTTTATATCATTCAATTATCATTCTTTTAGCAATCACATCCAAGCATACCACGCTATGTGACTGTCTCCTAGACATTCTCGATTGCTGTGGAGATGATGAATAAGCCGATATGTAGTAGATTTGGCAGATAAGTCTTTTTTGTGATTAATTAATTACATTGCTTTGATTAAGTGAAGTTAATTTAAGAAATATGTACTTACAAATTGTTAAATAAACAAATGCAATAAATGTTGTTTGCTTTGTAAATATTTGGATTCTTTTCTTAAAGTAAAAAATGGCTCTCCGTGAGGTTTGAGTATTATTGCGTAAGCAATTGTTTTTAGCAAAACTATTTATCTTATGATTATATTCATAATACCTGCTGAGTTTTAATCAACTAACCGCATTATTTGAAGACTTTTTAGTAAAAAAAATTATACCGCTCGTTTGCTGGAAGAATTTCAACGCAGAAAAGCAGAATCTCAAGAAATTGCTTTAAAACTTTTTAATTAATTATTGACTTCCCTTTTATATCTATTGAACTTGAAAAAAATTATAGTTTTTGGATTAAAACGTTCTTCCAGTAAACGAACAAAATATCCTGCCTCTGTTAATAATCGCTTGCAAAGTTGAAATATTTTCAAGCAATTCCTTTTTAAGCTAATATACACACATATAATTTGCTCCTGTTAGCCGAAATAAAAAAACAAAACTTAACACACTCTAAATGCCTTTGAATTATGCTACTGAACATCGCATCTTCTTTTGCTTGCCTGTAATTTTAAAAATACATATACTTGCTATTGTTACTTACTAACACTAAAAATTTTTATTTTCCTTTTTCCTTAGGTCATGAAAATTGCACATTTCATCATGACCTCGAACTGGATCACAAACCACCTACACGTGAGGCACTCTTACCCGAGTTGTCGCGTTCGTATCGCCTCTTGTTGAGCGGACTTGGAGAAAATCCCGAGCGGCAGGGTCTGCTGAAGACACCCGAACGTGCAGCAAAAGCTATGTTATTCTTTACGAAGGGTTACGATCAAAATTTAGAAGGTGAGTACTTTTATGAATCTAAAATTAGTCTAAAGCATAATAATAATCATCAGCAGCTATATTTTTTAATGAAATTAACTTAAGATTGCCTGGAAATATTTGTGATTAAAACGGATAGAAGATATCTTTCAACCGCTTAGTGCAATTTTGAAAATTCAAACGCTCCAGAATTTCGTAAAAAAACCCCTTCTCTTGTCGAATGTTTAAACCTAGAAAGTAATTGGCTGCTGTTGAAACTATTTTAAACTGCTTGCATAGTTCATTTCAAAAGATTTCTATACCTTTCTCATCAGTTAAAGCTACTAAGCCGTCATCAACATATAAAACGATTATAATTTTCTTCACATTTTCTTCTTGAATATAGAGGCAAACGTTTGCTTCTTCCCACACTGTAAATTTTAACTCTGTGAGAAATTCATGTTCTCGCTTATTCCAGCATCGAGGTGCCTGCCTCATTCCATAAGGGCTTCGTTTCAACTGCCTGTTTCGCCAGAAACCACATCCGGTCGCTTCATAGAGATAGTTTCCTTAACCCTAGAAACCTAATGCCGGCTACACAGCAGTAGAAATCAAAATTTTCTTCCATATGTTCTTTTCATGACATGCACATACATACTACTGAGGTTGCCGCAATAGTTGCCTCTACAGTTGCCTCGTGTGTAGTCAGCATAACGTTCTCCCGAACCCCATAAACCCTAACCATTCGTCGATTCGACATGAATTAATATAATTTTTCGTTATGTTTATGGCATAAATATGTCTATCCGCTATTACTTATTCTACGAAATAAAATAATTGCTTTCTTTTTATTTACAAATTATTTTTATTAGAATTAGTTATAGATCTCAAATTGTTTGCGGCAAACTCGTCGAATCGACGAAGGTTATGTTTCCAGGGTTGAATTCACCATAGAGAAAAGCCCCAGAGGCATCGAATTGTTTCAGCATCATCTTCTCAGTTTCTGCTATACTGAGAATTGCCCAAATAGACGTCACCTTTGCTACTGGATTTAAAGTTTGAAAAGTAGTCAATCCCATACCCTCTTCATAACCAATATGACTTTAAATTTTTCAATGCTTTCCTCGGAATTTGTTTTAAGTTTGTAGGCCCGTTTGCATCGCAATGCTTTAGCCTCCTTTGGTAAGTCCGCCAAATTCCATGTTTTGATTTCTTGTAATGACCTAATTTTCTTACCCCTAGCAAATTTCCATTCACCTTGCTCATTACTGGTTACCTCTTCTGTACAACTTTCTGGTGTTTGCAAGCCATTTATATATGTATTCTTTAGGCTCCATAACAAAATCTGGCAGTTTCTTTGATCTCGCGAAATGTTGACGGTTTCTCAAATTTGGTCCTGTCATTTCATCGCTGCTTTCTTCCCTCGTACGTTTACTTTGTAGCCGGTTAGTATTCGTAGATTCATCTTTCTGACAATCTTTCGAATTTCTTATTTAATTGTCTGTACCCTCTCAGTGGTCGCGTGATCCTTTTCTATCATTAAGCTGGCGCCGCAAATCAGCGAAATGTTGAACAACATAACTTTAATATACGATTTACGTAGTTGACCACAGTAAAATTATTTTTTTAAATACAATATACATACATATGCATGTAGATAAATTTACGAGCTCAGTTAAATATGCAAATATTCAAGTTATCACTGTTCATGTGACTAATATCCAGCTGCTGTTTGCTGCTCAGCAGCTGATTTCTTAAGTCATTACATAGCATACTTTATTTTAATTACTTAGTATTCTAAGTTTTTTGGACCACCAAAGCTGGTTTTGCATTCGAAACGAGTTATTACACGTATTAGTATGCGCAGATTTGTATTCATTTGCAAATGGTTTTATTTCATGATTTTTTTTACATATACAAAAATGTATGGGAGAAAAGTAAAATCGGAAATTTAATGCTCTCATCCCCTAGGATTGTTCTATACCGAAAAAAGTATACCCCTGTTTTTTTATTTTAAAATCAAAATATGTTTAGAGGTCGCTCAAAGCGCTCAAAGTTTCCCATGTATTTTGTATGGGGAAAAAATACTTTTCGTAGAAATGGCATAGAATCCATGAAAATCAAAATTTTTCAATCTGAAAACTCTGCTTCTCTTCAGAGGACTTCAGAGAATAATGCCCAACGTTTTTTAATTTAAACTATTTTTTCTTTTTTTCTTTTGTATATTTCTGTTTTATATTTAATTTTTTTGGGATATTTCGGAGACCCTTAAAAAATAGTTAAAATTAAAAAATGTTTAAATAAACAATTGGGCATTATTCTCTGAAGTCTTCTGAAGAGAAGCAGAGTTTTCAGATTGAAAAATTTTGATTTCCATGGATTCTATGCCATTTCTACGAAAAGTCTTTTTTTCCCCATACAAAATACATGGGAAACTTGAGCGGAAGAGGTGTTTTTTTTTTTTTGCGGTATAGAACAATCCTAGGGGGTGAGGGCATTAAATTTCCGACTTTACTTTTTTTTGGACCACCCTAATGTACATACATTAGAGTGGTCCAAAAAAATTTCTTCCGAGATAAGGTTTGGGGCACCTTCCAAAATTTTTCCTCTTGCCGAAAGAGGTGCTGGTACCAAACTTTACGTTTCTAAGTACATATACATTTAGAGGATGCTCGTGATACTCATATTTTACTATAGAAGTATTGTTTACATATATGAACCAAACAATTGGTTAGACAACCTAATAACATTTGAAATTTAAATTATCTAAAAAAATATCGCAAGCTTCAGTTGTCATGCCAACAGTAGCTTTTTATAAAAATCACCAATATATTTGCCAGTTCACACACCCTGTATTGGTTACAGTAGAATATTGAAAGTTGGTATAGATATTACAAATATCAAAAGTAATACCAAAAAAGTAAATACAAAAATTGTACCACTCTAATGTACATACATATATGTATATATATTCATATTATTAATGGTTTTGCAGATACAAGTTCCTTAATTGATTGTGTTACTTACGGAAAATTACCTAAGTTTGATTAAAAGACTCGATGATTTCATTTTTAAGTCATAACAATTGTATAACATGCAAACAGTATACGTACAGTAAATATTACTGTAGCCCTACGTACAAAATAAAGATATCCACGAAAACACTTTAGACAGACAGTAGAGTGTGTCAGTCAAAAGTGTCACTCAACTGTGTTAATTAATTATGGTATGAAAATATAATATTGTGTCCCTTCCTAATATTGTAGTTAAATCAGTTTTTCTTGAGTTACCGTCATTCATGAGCATGTATACGAGTAAATTTATGAAAATTACTTAAATTTTGCAAGTCATAACTGCAAAAAGAGCATCTTAATTTCACATGAGATTTGCGCGACAAACAGTGGCCTGACATTCATAAACGGTCAGCGAACTCGACATCATCGAGATGTGTGAAACGAACTTCTTTTTTTTTTTACTTAGCCAACTTTAGGCTGTTCTTTTTTACACTAATGTCTCACTTTGTTTTGGTAAGTCACAGACGTCATTTGGTTTGCGAAATCTTGCATTTACACGAATGTAATTACATACATACATACATACATACTTGCAGTTATGTATAAATGAGTGACATTTCAAATGCAATTAAGAAATTTTATCCAATAAGCGGGGATTTCTAAGTTGACCGCTCAACCAGTTTCATGACGATGTGTCAATTAACCTGGAAAGTTTAGCTGCCAGGGAAATACCAAAAGTGCAGGAAATTGCGTAAAGAGAGCAGTCAGTATAGTAACTTGCTTGCTTAGCTTCTTACAATTCTGGGGAAAAAAAGATGCGAAAGCCGAACAAGTAGAAGTGATTTGGTAGTGGGAAACGACATGAGTCAGCATTTTTGACTAGTTAATGATGTTTTAGTGGAATATTTTTTGTTATAATTTAGTAGTGGCATACATGTTTCTATATAAAATCAATCTACATACATACATACATACATACATACTTGATACAGAAATACAAAATTTTTAACTACAAATGTAAATCCACAAAAATTCCAGCATTCTTATATTGATTTAACAAACCTTTGTTGAAATTTAACATTCCTGCCCTAAAATCCTTCTTTTACGCAAGTTGGCATTGACAGCTTGACATACACAAGATGGCCACACAATTAACTACTCTATGCTGCATTAACTTTGAATGGCGACTTGAGTAGGCGTAAGTGGCTCAAAGCACACACAAACACACATATGTACATTCAAATCTGTACAAGAGAAAAGTTGAAGAAGGAATGAAAGTAAAAGCATTGTGGTAGGCATTTACATACATACATATGTACATATCAAGCAGAAGTGTTATCTAATAAAATAAAGCACAAAAGCAACAAACAAAAATAGTGTTTGAAATAAAAATATGAATGTTTTATTGTATGAAAGAATAAATAAAACCCAAATCAAGGAGTAACGTATGTATGTAGTCCTTCATATCATTTTCGCTACACTCTTTTATACAAATACACTCTTCCTTCTCTGCCGTGTTAAAATATGTTGGTAAGCTCCAAATTCGTTTTGCGGCGAAAGAATGGGGGCTCTGTCTGAGAGTGACACAAAGTCCAAGTTTCGAAATATCTCAAAATAGCCAACTAATGGTGGGTTAGATTCTGGGCAATGCCTATTAAAAAGATTTAAGTCTTTTTCCACAGAAAAATGGCACTTGTGGTATTCAAAGCGTAAGAGTCTGGAGGTCGGAGTTTGAATCGTATATTACCGTAAACATTCGAATGGGCATTCAATTAATGATCGATTTTTTTTGGATTTATTTTAATATTTACTGCCAAGTTCAATAGGACACAGGAGTTGCCACATACCGGGGTTTCATCATTTTTTTCTAGTAATTTCAGAGTTGAAAACATTTACAGTGAGTGTCAGTCAAAATCGTACAGTAAATTTTTGTCCATAATTTGAAAATATTTTTCATTTTTTTTATCTAATTATTAATAAAACTATTAAAAAAATCGTGAAATTTGCAGCAAAATTTTATAATTTTCA